GCTTTACAAGACACACAAGAACAAGGCAGACGCTGCACACAATGCAAGGAGCTAGTTCGTGGACATAAAGGTCCCATAGGACCAAAATGTTCAAACTTAGACGTGAAAGCCGAGGCCGAGCTGCCACGCCCAGAACCGGTTTCTACGGCCGATACAAAACAAGACATTCCAGGATGGCAACTTCCTATGATGGAAGTGTCCCAACAGATATCTGGACTAGTTGCGGTTACAAAGGACTTGCAAGTCGAACAAAATAACATGAGGGAACAAGCTGTGCACATAACAAAAGAATTGGGGGATATAAAAATTCAAACTCAGCGACAAGCCACACCCATTGAACAAAGATCGACCGCCGTGGATCAAACATCAGCCGGGGAACAGAACTCCATCCCTGATACGGCAACAGGAACACATGTCACGACAAACGTATTTAACGTCCCAATTCCAGAAAAAGTCATCAAAACCATAAAGAACGGTGAGTTTGTTCAAATGATTGACATTTTACCCACCAATTTACTGCACGACCATCATGAAAATCCCGATCCGATATTGTCACTTGAAAATGGCCAACTGCGACAAAAACAAACCAGAAAAATCAAAATAATTGAAAATTTCTCCCAATGGCTGAGCGCCTGGAATATTTTCGAGGCTATCATTGTACAAAATGCACCACACACCTATCCTGGATTATGTACATATCGAAATATAATCCAAGAAGCCGACGCCAAGTTCAAGTGGAACGCCGTCAACGCCTATGACGTCAAATATAGAAGCAAATTATCACAAACAAAAAAGTCAACAATTTGGGAATATCGACACACAACTATACGTGACAACGTTCGACTCGACAGCTGTGAAGCAGCACATCATCAAATGTTATCGCTGTGCAGGAGATCATAAGGTCTCCAATTGCCCGTTTCAAGCGGGGGCCACGGTGGCGACGTCTACGACAACAACAACATACAGCAAGGATAAAGTTAAAAACGAAATCTGCAATAAATATCAACATGGAGAATGTAAATATGGATCACAGTGCTTCAGAATTCACAAATGCCAAGGTTGTGGGGCAAGTGATATCCCAAAATACAAATGTAAAAAGTGCATTGGAGGAAATTAAGCCCTACAAACCATTGTGCCCAATAGCTTTAGCCCATGGCTTAAGAAATCACCCCGACAAAAATTTTGTAAATTATATTGTTGAAAATGCTACACATGGTGTTAAACTTGGGTACAATGGTCCAAGGGAATCCCGTATTCATGGAAACTGGAAATCAGCATTAGATAATAGTGAAGCCATACAACAAAATATCGATAAAGAAATGTCCAAAGGAAGGAAAGTAGCATTCAGTTCTATACCGTGTGAAAAGTACGTCGGATCTCCGATTGGTGCATATGCAAAAAAGCACTCGAACCCTACAAAATATCGCATTATACACGACCTCTCATGGCCCCCAGGGAAATCCGTGAACGAATTTATTTCCAAAGAAGAATATGGATGCCATTACATAAGTATCGATACTGCAATTAATTTGGTGAAACAATAGTAGTTATTAGGGAATGAGGGAGCCACATTCTAAGGTTGTACTACGGTGTACCATTACATAATCCCTTTGTTCTAAGGTTGTTCTAAGGTTGTACCACGTTGTATGTTGCGTAACACCCCTTTGTTCTAAGGTTGTACCACGTTGTATGTTACGCAACACCCCATTGTTAAGGTGTTGTACCATGATGTTCTACCTCTGTATGTTACGCAACGCCCTTTGTTAAGGGAGACACATGTCAACGTTGTACCAAGCTATGTTGCTCAACACCCATTGTTAAGGTGTTGTACCATGGTGTTCTACCTCTGTATGTTACGCATCGCCCTTTGTTAAGGGAGCCACACGTCAACGTTGTACCAAGCTATGTTGCTTAACACTCTTCCCTCCCTACGTCTCCCGCTCGCCTCATTAGCTCGATAACAAAGGAGGGCGACGATTAGTGAGCCATTTAGAAAATATGGTACAACACTGTAAATGTTGTACCAAAGTCACTCATTTGTTATATGTAGGGATCACGCCGACACTTAGCAAACCAAATGCCCTTTACCATTGGTGGGTTTAAAACTAAGTCAAGTCTCATTGGCTGAGTGTTAGGGATCACATTGAGTTCTTCGTTAAAGTTTACTGTAGCCCTCATTACCATCGTCAACTCTGATCGATTACCAGTAAATATTTTAACAATCCAGAAAAAAGTAAAATAAATTGAAAATATAGTAAGATCATCGTATACTGTACATTACAATGACTGAAGCGCAAGAAATCAACTCTCTGGCTGTATTCGAGTTTGGAAGTGAATTTAAAGTGGACGTTAGATTGGGGAAATATCCCAAACCATTTTTACTATTCCAGCAAAGAATACTAAATACATCAGAACTTCGTTACTTCAACAAGTCTGTGCTACTGTCCATCAAACAGTACGTTCTCTTCAGGGATGCCATACCAACACTTTCGCAATTCGCTCGATGTGTGATGGCTGGGGGCGAGGAGATGTTAATCAAACTGGACAAGTTATTGACTGTGTACGTTGGACGGGATGGGTACGAAAACACATACATGAAAATGAAGAGAACGAGAAAAAATGCTACACAGTCCTCCTCTGGAAAGCAAAGCGACGAATCGGATGAAATCAAAATCGACTGGGAAGACTTCGAGCTGTTAAAGGAAAAAATTGGAGAGATAAATGCCTGCATTTTAACTGCAGTGAAAGAAAACAAAGAAAATGGTAAGTTAAGTCACTTATTGCGTGAGTTTTGTATACAACATGTACAATACATGTATCTATAATTCGGTACTGTTTGTTAATATCACATGATATTATGACTGTCATCTAAAATAGCATGTTCGTATGGTAGGGGGAAACGCGCTAAATAGCATAAACATTGTGTTATGTATTTCAACATGAATTTGATATAAATCTTTCACTGCGTGTCTTTTAGTTACTTCAACCGATGACAAAGGAACAGACAGCGGTAATTCGGGAGCTAGTCAGAAATATACTCTGATCAATAAGAGAAAGGGGGATTCCTACGATTCAGACCGGATGGTGACTCCGAAGAGACAAAGCCACGAGGTACCCGAATCCCAGCCATTGTCGCCAGAACTTTTCGGATCCCAAGAAAATGCTTCACTCGGTTTTGATGATGTCACAAGCTTTGGAAACACAAAGCAGTTTTATTATTGACATTCAGCCAACAACATTTATATGTGATACATCAGAGAACAATCACTAATATTGGGTTAATATAGGATTTTGAGACCGTATAATACAGTTGCTATGACAGCAAGAAAATGTATTTCAGAATAAAATGTAAATGAAAATGGAATTAATAAAAAGTGATTATATCAGAAAATAAAAAAGAATTTCATTTGTTTATTTTTAATGAAGTGTTTCAAACTAAATTCGATACTTTTGAGGATTCAATAAAGTTCAATTAAGTGTAGAGTTTGAAATGCTGTTATTTCGAAATACCATAACTTAAACATGAAGTAGTATTGAAAACAAATTGCATGATTATTTGACCCCCTGGCCCTGTCCATTTTGGAAGGTCCCTTTACATATTTATAATTTCATCCACCACTTGAACTCATTCATTTAGTCCGAGTAAAACGATGGAGACGGACCATTATTTTTTCTTGAGCAGCAACGACTCTAGACAGTATTATCCTTTTAACAATTCGAATAGCTTCACGGTCGTTCTACCCGGCTACTTGAATCTGATAGGTCTTTGGCAGATAGCCCTTTGCGAAATCAATTTTCCCGAGGATCCCATTTGCGATTCTGAAGTGAGTTGTTTGGACGTTTTATGCGAACTGGCCGATTCATCCGTGGTGAACTGCGAGAAAAAGTGCATTCTGAGAAGAATTCCCAAATCAAATCCGAACAGGGTGTTCGATAGGCCCATGTACTTTCCCATCAATCAAGTTCACTTCGACAGAATCAAGATAAATATAAGAGGAGACAACAACAAGACGGTGTCATTCAGAGAAGGAGCAGTGACTTGCGCGGTTCACATACGTCGTTTGTTGTAATAAAAACGAGAAATAAAATGAAATTGGAACTTTACGTGGACGACCCTAAGAAATGGGACTCGTTCATTCGGGCTAGTCGGGAGGGTCGGGTGTTGGCTCAGATAGGCAGGGGAAAACACAAAGCCAGATACATCCCCCTATCGTCCGTGAGGGAAGCGCAGGCCCCGGTAAAAATGATCTCTCCGATTCAAGCCGTCACCGAACGAGCGCGTTCAGATTTACAGCAACAGAAAATGATGGCGAGACATAACGAGATTTCAACGATGCAACCCACGACCACCAAGAATAAAAGAAAGCATACTGGAGTCGCTGCGGTCAGTAAGAAGAAAAAGCCGAACGGTCAACAACGTAAGGGGAAGAAAGGCTACGAAAATATCTTTGACAGAAATTGAAAAAAGCAAAAAAATAAAATAAAGAT